CTCTATCAGGCACAACAACTTCCCCAATCCTAATCACACATTAACTGCTTACCCATAGAAAGATCAGGCCAACACATAAAACAATATCGATTGCAGTATCTACACTTGGGAAATAAGATAATAGGAAACGGCGCTAAAAAACAAAAAAAAAAAAAAAAACAAAGGGAGAGTTAGTAAACACGCGCCAGAACCATTAGGAACTTGGAATGACACCAGCCATGACCCACTGCGAACAGAGCAAGCTGCAGAGACAGAAACCGGGTAATATGTCGTTTCACACGTTTCCATCCCAGGCATCGAATGAAGTCCACGATTCTTTAAGTTATACTCTACTTAGACTGATAAGAACATAAAATAAATTACTCAGATTCTTGAATTTTTGATATATCTGAATGTCAGCCCATAGAACTCTACTCTCAATAGCTTAGAGCAATTTTATTTTCCTGCATAAAAGGAAGAAATAGGACGAATAACAATTATTTAACATCATACCAGGGAAAGGGAACGAAAAGAAACTAATGAGCATGAGCGTAAAATGCAGGACACTATTTATTATCAGAATCGAAATTGGGAAACATATTAACCAGAAATCTATATGTCCATAGACGTAGGCGAGGGACATCCGTTTCGCCTAAGTGGCAAAAGGCGCACCCTTCTCTGGCCAGCGACGTGTATGTTGGCACCTCCTCTGAGGGAACGCCACAGACTTTCTGTCTTTCTCCAACCAACTGTAACTGGCGAGGGTCCTGGGAATCTAACTTGAATTGCGTTCCAGCCACCAGCAGGCTCATTTCCTGTAGTGTTATTCCAGCAAAACAGCTAGGGGCTAAACAGCATGCGTGTTCTCCAGTGTAAAGTCACTCTGTTAGCAATTCCTTTGCAACAAAAAGTCATGTACTGGGATGCTTTGGTATAATATTCCCTTTGCAACAAAGTCAATGTATGGGATGCTTTGGTATAATATCTTTTACAATGAACAGTAATGTATGGAATGCTTTGGTATAATTTAATATTCTTTGCAAAAAATCAATATATGCGGATGCTTTGGTATAATATAAAGAATTCCAGACCCAACAGGCCTGCAAAGAAGTTAATTTTAAATAATAATTCGATATAAGAAAAACCGTTACAATAATTCTATTAGAACTCTGAGGTCTTATTATTTGCCCTGTACCGGGCAGGTAGGAAACAGGACTCACACATCAACGGGACTGATGGTGGCACAGAGATCCGTGGACAAGAACACGGATCTCATGAATCCACGATCACGCCTCCCTCCCTCTCCGTGGAAGTTGTTTTCAAGTCAAATTATGGGGAGACAGATCTATTTTTTAAAAATGCTCACACACACACACCACACACACACATCTCCCCAAATACTATCCGCGCCCTGCGCCAACTGCAGAAGGACCCGCGCACCAACCTCTACGATGTCGTCATCAAACAAAAGCCAGAAGCCGTGGCTTTTCACGATGGTGATGTAATGCCCGCGATTCGGACCGCTGGAAAAGAGCGAACAGAAGGAAGTTTCCAAGTCAGCGTCTACTTCTTTATAAAACTCCTCCAAGCTCTTTATACGCTGCGATTCTCTAGGGTAAACTCTGTGTCATCAGCACAAATAAGTGGGTGTAATTCGAGTCTCTGCGCGCGGTTTCGAGAGGAGCAGCGGGCGCTGGCGGGGTGCTGGACTTAGGGAGCACAGGGGTGCGCGGGGACGTCGTCCACGGACTCAGTCCCGTGGGGAGAAGGGACACTCCAACTCAGCAAACACGAATGAATAATTCCTGTCTGTGCCCGGCCCTGGCCTGGCTGCCAGGGGAAGACGCAGTGAACAAAACCAAGTCCTCACTTGCACCTTGGATTGGGGGTGGGGGGTGGGGAGCCGATCAACTAAACATACAAACACACGTGGAGCCGTGGTAAGTGCCAAAGAGAAGCTGAGGCCGGGCGCGGGGGCTCACGCCTGTCATCCCGGCACTCTGGGAGGCCGAGGCGGGAGGATCGCTCAAGGTCAGGAATTCGAGACCAGCCTGAGCAAGAGTGAGACTCCATCTCTACTAAAAAAGTAGAAAGAAATTAATTGGCTAACATAAAAATTACAGAAAAAATGTAGCCGGGCATGGTGGCGCATGCTGTAGTCCAGTACTAACGAGGAGGCAGGCGAGGCGAGGATCGTTGGACCGAGCGAGTTGGAGGTTGCTGTGAGCGAGGCTGACGCCAGGGCACTCACCATAGCTGAGGCACAGAGGGAGCACTCTGTCTCGGGTAAATAAACAATAAATACAAAATCACGTAGGATAAGCATTTATTTCAAACTTCATACAGCATCATTTCTATCCAATGCGAATCTTCTATCTCCCTCATGATGAGACGTTTAGACCGGGGTCCTCAACACTATTTTCAAACAGGGGCCAGCGTCACTGTCCCCCGACCATCTGGAGAGTGCGCACATGTGGGCCCGGGATGAGTCGGCTGCTAAGCAGGCACAAGGCAGGCGGCGCAAAACAACAGCGGAGGCCGGCGCGTGGGCTCACCGCCTGTAATCCTAGCTCTCGAGAGGCCCGAGTCGGTGGATGCTCGAGGTCAAGGACCGTTCGAAACCCCAGCCCTGGCAAGAGCGAGACCCCGTCCTCTACTATAAAGGTAGAAAAGAAATTAATTGGCCAACTAATGGATATTAGCAAAAAAACAACACAAAAAATTACCGGGCATGGTGGCGCCATGCCTGTAGTCCCCAGCTACTCGGGAGGCTGACGGCAGGGGAGGATGGCTTTGAGCCAGGAGGTTCTGAGGTTGCTGTGAGCTAGGGCTGACGCCACGGCAATCACTACCTAGCTGGGCAACAAAAGCGAGATCCTGTTCAAAAAAAAAAAAAAAACACCAGGCGGGCCGGATAAATGTCTCTCCGGCAGGTGGCATGGTGGCCCCAGGCCTAGTAGTTTGAGGAACGCCTAGGTTTGGATGCTTGTACTGGAGTGCTGTTTATCTCTGCACGTGCTTACGGAATTTTTCCTATGCTTTTGACGACGATCAGTAAGAGGTCTGGAGAGGTCCCAAACGTGCTGGACGCCACGGCCCCGGGGAGGGTGCGGCCGGGTCCACTTCGGCCAAGGGACGACTGTCGCCGCGCGCTCCCGGGCCCGCCCTCACCTGCCACAGTGCACGACCACGGCGACCAGGTCGTACATGCGTCGCAGGTTGACGGCGTCGGCTGGAGGTGTTGTAAGAGACCGCAGCTCCAGCGGACCAGACCACGCGGGTAGGACAAGCTTGGTGTAACCTGTGCCATAGCTGCTGCGCTGAAGCTTGAACCGCATTCAGTGCAGGGCAGGATCAATGGCAGACTTTTTCACTCTCA